TTGATTACAACACTTATCGCTTTATTCTGAGGGAGAGGGAAGGCATGGTAAGGAATTTCCTTTTCGTCTAGGTATCTCGTGACTTCACGATATTCAGTGTCCGATTTTACTTTAATGTGGATATCACCACCTTTCTGTACACATTCCCTGGATATGGTAAATTGCTTAATATTATCTCTGAGGGCTTTCCAGTTCGCGACATCTGAAATGATAATCGGTGGAATTCTGTTAGCCTTTTTGTTGGGCGTAATGAAATCACCTTCATTATTAGTACTGTCTTCTTGTGAGTTTAGCGAACTAACATTTGTAGTGTCCATTTTATCATCTATTTTTAGTGAAGCGTATTTATTTTTGATTGACGTCATTGAAAGCGTTGCTGCTTTCACTAAGTGTGCGTTGTGGTGTTTTTTCGGTGTATTTTTGGGTAATCCATTTTTCATTATAATTATTTATTTTGCTTATTTCCTGAATAACATTTGAAACTGGTTTGGGTTGCTTTGCAGTTTGATTAGATGTCGAATCATTGCTAGCATTATTAACTAACGGGATGCTACCGCAGATATTTTGCATTTTCTGTATCACTGAATCTCCTGCAGCTTGTTTAATCGCTACACACTTCTCAAGCTCTGCATAGGTTTTTTTGAGCCATTGCTCCATTTCTGGGGTGGATTTTCCGTAAGCCATTTCTAAGCGTGTTAAACGCTAAGTTAAACTCAGCCATAATCTGCCTACAATCCTCAATCGTGCCATGTTTTAAGAATATTCTCAACAATATCGCGCTTATTAAGGACTGCTAAATCATTTATCTCATCCATATTTACCAAGTCAAGCTATCCTATCGATGTACAAGACAATGTCCATAATGAAAGCGTAGAAATCAAAAATATGCTCACGAACTCGTCCAGATGAGCTACTCCAAGTACACCTCTCGAAAGGGACCAACGAAAAACACTTACTATTTATAAATAAATTTCCTTCATTTCCTAAATTTTAGAATCACACTCGTAGAGCAAAATAATAATACGAACTCAAACAACTTTCGAATCAACTGAACTACGAATCGAATTGACGAACGAATTGAGAGGTTTTCATGCCCCTTATATAAACTTTGTAAATGCGCGAGAATTTTCTGGTATTTTCTCGAAATAAAAAAGATATGTTTATTTATTAAATGTTAAATGCACGAGCTCTTGTATTTTTAATTTTCCTGCTTAGCTTTCTTTTAATATTCGTCACGCGCTGCACTGCACGGGGAATAAAACAACTTTATTAATAATTCTACTAACCTTAACTAATTAAATACCAATCCGTAACAATACTGTTACGAATTTGGTATTTAAAAAGCTAATGTTAGTTCGATTACAAATTAAATGGTTTTATTTCCCGCGCAGTGCAGCGCGTGACAAATATTAAATGAAAGCTAAGCCGTAAAATTGAAAATACAAGAGCGCGTGCATTAAACATTTAATAAATATCTCTTTTTGATTTCGAGAAAGTACTATAAAATTCTCGCGCGTGATTTTAAAATCTTATGAAAGGAGGAAAACCTCTCAGTTCGTAGTAGTTACTTAGTTTGTTGTTGTTTAGAAAATTGCTCTTGTTGACTGTAGCGAATTCGCGGATTAGCTTTCTTTAGCTGTTTTGAATTAAGTTCTATTGGAAAGTTTGAGTAGTAGTTAAAAGATAACTACTGTGATATATTGTGATACTGCACGATTATTTGAGGACATTTAATCATATTTGTTGTGATAATAATAAATTTTCTTCATTTTTCATCGGACTTGTGCATTAATTTCGTAACGAACCCATACGCACGCGACAATTTTCGGTGTCAGGAATCGGTGTTTGAATGCCCATCACTAGAGCGATGGGAGAACAATTGAGACAGCTCATTACTGCTTTTACTGCGTTCCAAGAAAAGATGAAAGCTGGCCAAACATCTTTTAAAGAAGAAATTAAATAGAAAATGGATGCTGGCCAAAAATCCGTTAAGGGCGAAATGAAAGCCGTTCAAGCTGGTCAAGAAAAGATTGAAGCAGGTCAAAAAGAAATTAAAAGAGAAATTACCTGCATAATAGAAAATAAATTTGAAGCTATGGAAGGCAGAATTGACACAGTTGAAAATAAAGCTGGACAAATTGAAGAAAAAGTTTCTTCCGTAATAGATCAAATTGAAGAAAGAGTTTCTTCGGTGAAAGAAGAAATAGAAGAAAGAGTTATTTCTGTAAAAGAACATATAGAAGGAAGAGTTTTTGCTGTGGAGGAACGAATTGAAGGAAGAGTTTGTGCCGTCCAACACCAAATCGAACAACAAATTGATGATAGGGTTTCTGCAGTAGCCAAAGAAGTGGATATTTTAAAGAAATTCGTAGCGACGGCAGGGAACAATAGTGATGGTTTTAAATTTTTACCCATGCCTGCTTGTCCCTCTCTGAAGTTATCCACTTATGATGGGAAGACCTCCTGGCAAGTGTATAAAACCAATTTTCTATAGTGGCGGATGCGAATGGAGGGATTCCCAAAAATAAGGCCTGTCATCTCGCCGCTTCGCTGAGAGCAGACGCAGCGGAATATCCTGCAGACGCTTCCCAAAACCAAAGACTTGACTTCGAAGCTCTATCCGGCGCATTGGAGCTGCGCTTTGGCGAGAAATGTTTAAAAGACTACAGCAGGCTTCAATTAAAATCCCGTCAACAGAAGCCCACCGACTCACTCCATGAACTCGCCACGGATGTTGAAAGGCTGTCCCAGAGCGCCCGAGAGAAACGGGGGGAAATCCTGTCGCTGCAATACTTTATCGACGGCATCTGGGATACTGAAATACAGAAAGCTCTACGAATGGCGGATGTAAAAGATTTAAAAAGCGCTTTAGTGTACGCCATGAAATTCGAGGCAGCCCAGCAAAGCAACTCGTAGAGACCGCCACCCCCGTCAGAGCTGTTCAAGTCCAGAGCCAAAGGATCAAGTCACTGCTCGTCTAGACGATATAACCAGACAACTCAATGACTTAAGAAGAAATATTAGTGAAAAGAAACCGACCTTAAAATGTTGGAACTGTGGAGCTGAAGGACACATACGGTGGAACTGCAGAATACCCCAGGGCACGGATGTTACGACCGCTCCTAGCAAGCAGCAGGGAAACTAATTGGTGGCCATCTCGCGGAGCGGAGGTTGCCAGATAATGAAAAGCCCCAGCTTAAAGCGCTTCAGATTTCTGCATTGAGAGGCGGCAGTAATGGAATTTTCATAATAGGACATGTTAATGGAGTTCCCTGCAACATGACGATAGATACAGGAGCCAACGTTACCATCATCCGAAAGATTTGGCTCAAACAAACTGGGAAAACAACTTATCTGGACGCCGTCCTGCGTTACCCTCCAGACTGTGTCCGGTGAGAAGATCGATATCGACGGAAAAGTAATGTTAACATCACGTTTGGAAGTGCCGCTTACCATCACACGGCATATGTAGTAGAGATCACAGATTTTTGCATACTCCGGATTAGACTTTCTTAAGGAAATACAATTTTTCCTTGGACTTTAAAATAACGAATTGCATTCTGCGTTGAGGACATAGCGTTATTTGGAGTTAATGATGAAGACGTTAAATCTGTCCATAAAATCATAGCACAAGACAATATCACAATACCGGCAAGAACAGAAATTTTTCTTCCTGGATCCATAGCCGGAAACAGAAATTTCCGCTACGGCATCATAGAATATCCTAATAACTGTAATAGCCCAAAAGGAGTACTAATAGCCTCAACACTTGTCGACCTATCCAGAACGGTTATCCCGGTGTGAGTCGCCAACTGAGAAGGTGTGAGTCGTAACTGAGAAGGTGAGAATTATTAAGAAAGGTGATGTGTGTGAAGTATGCTCCTTCAAAATTGCTCCACATTTTAAATAAATACATTAATTACATTATATTACATAGTACAGTTACATAGCAAATACGCGTTACACAGCTCTTCACACTACATTCTCAAAACCCACGCCAACTCTGCCTCAAATCGAAACTTTTCTCACACAGTTGAGGGGTGCTACAACGCCCTCTATGGGAGATCTCAACATACTCCCCACGGATGACCGTTCAGGACATCAAACTACCTCTTACATAAAATTATTACTTAACATTATTCTTAGTAAACATATAATTTCTAGATTAAATAGTTCTTGCTTATAAATGAGAAATACTAAGCCTAAATTAACATAACTATAAACAGTGAATTACACAAAAATAATAACATAAATATGTACAATAACATTAAAACTTAGAGAATTCAAATGAATATCGATGAATATCAAGTTAAAGTTCAAAATTTTTCACGATACTTAACTGTCTATTGGTAACACACACAGTTTGTGAATGGGTCTCTTGAATTCACCATCAGCAGTTTTTACTTTTACAACACGAACTCTGTAATCATTACCTGGGTAAATTTCGATGATACGTCCCAGTTTCCATTTTAAGGAAGGTGTGTTATCTTCCTTAATGATTACTAATTAAGTCATTTACTTTAATATTGGCTGAAGCACGATGCCATTTTGTGCGAACTTGCAGTTGAGTCAAATAGTCCTTAGACCATTTCCTCCAGAAGGACTGCGACATTTGCTGAACTAGTTTCCAACGATTACGAAGTGTTAGTGTCTCGTTTTGGTTCACATTTGGTTCCGGAATAGACTTTAATGATGTTCCTATCCAAAAATGACCCGGTGTAATCACGGAAAAATCATCTGGATCACTTGAAATCGCTACTAATGGTCTTGAGTTCAGACACGCCTCGACTTCTGCTAGATAAGTAGCAAATTCTTCAAAAGTTAGAACTTGAGAACCAATTGCTCTTCTTATATGATATTTCATAGCCTTTACTGCGGCTTCCCACAGTTCACCAAAGTGCGGTGCAGAAGGCGGATTGAAATTCCACTTAATTTCTTTTTCTATTAAGTATCTAGATACGTTTGTTCCGAACGATATGATTTTAGTTGTCTGTTGGCACCTATAAAATTAGTGCCAAATCACTATACAGTTCCTCCGGTCTTCCACGTCTAGCAATGAATCGTTTTAGAGCTGCTACGAAGGAATCTGTCGTCATGTCTCCAACTTGTTCTAAATGCACTGCCTTAGTACTATAACATACGAAAACACAAACGTAGATCTTCACTGTCCGAACACGGCGCCCTTTCTTCGGTTTAACTTGGAAAGGACCCGAAAAATCCGCACCACATTTCGAAAAAACTCTTGCGGGATTCACTCTGGATGATGAAAGATCGCCCATTTCTTGATATGACAGCTCACTTCTGTGTCGACAGCATGTTACACATTTACGAATGATCTTTCGAATAGCTGCTCTTGCATTAATAATCCAGCATCTTTGCTTGATTTCTGAATGGAGCATTTGTGCTCCTCCGTGAAGATATTTATAGTGATAATATCGTATTATCAGTTCTGTAATATAGTGTGATTTAGGCAGAATGACTGGATATTTTAGATTCTGTGCGATACTAGCATTTCTTAGTCGTCCTCCCACTCTTAGAAAACCTTCGTCGTCTAAGAATGGATTCAACATATTGAGTTTACTGCGAGGACTCACTAGTTTTCTCTTTTTTCAAATGATCGATTTCTTCACTAAATTCTTGCATTTGCACAGACTTGATTACCCAAGAATGTGCTACGGCTAGCTCTCCAGTCTGGAGAAAATTTGATTTTGTCCTTGTTATTATTGATGATCGTTTCACACTGGCAATAAATCTGAGACACCAAGCTATAACTCGTAAAGGTTTTGTATAAGAAGAATATTTATGAAGCAGTTCATCAATCACAAAATTCTTAATCACAGTAGTATGCACAACGCATCCCTTTCTCTCAGTTTCTACTATTTCCAATGGGATATCCTTCAGTGGATGCTTAGGGAAAAAATTATCTTTTCTTTTTAGCCAATATGGACCATATCACCAACGATCACCTTCCAACAAACGTTTAACTGGCACACCTCTACTAACTAAATCAGCAGGATTTTCCCTTCCACTGCAATGATTCTGTTATAATATTATAGTGAAATAGAAATTCATACGTAATATTTACTACTGAACATCATTACTGTGAAATAACTATTGTCAAAGTTCATACTATTATGAGTAGACTGTGGTTATAGGTAACATAACAGAACATTTCAATCAATATGTATCAATCACCAACTGTATAAGTAGTTATCAGTGTAACATAAACCAAATATGCAAACAACATGCATTGTGTTTTAAACGAAAACCCATTCTATGTTGGTCCAGTGTAAGAGTTAATTACAATAATTACAAACAGGTTAAATAAAATCAAACTAACGTTTATTTTTGGTAGGAAAATATTAAGTTACAATTCTGAAGAGAGTCATGACACTCACTATTTACGATACAATTATTACGTAGTGGCTGGATATTGAGCAAAGCTGACGAACACAAAAATATAAAACATACCTTTAAAAACAAACAGGGTTGGTACAGCCATAAAGGAATTCACACAAAAATCTTGAGACTTAACAAGTAGTAGGACTTAGGCATCTTTACAGACATTTCGCCATATCTGTTGGGAGGAAAAGATAGAAGTTAGAGTAACTAAAAAAAATCAAGCCATGATAACAACAACGTCGAGGTCTGGCTCCGTTTTGCCGCTCAAACAGCAATTCCCTCAGGAAGGTTCGATGTGGTAAAGCTCTATAGACCATTTCTGAGAGAATCACGGATCACTTCATCTTCCCTTCACGGCTTAGCATATGGAGTATGATGTATTTTTCCCGAAACTCTCGGGGTCTGCCAGGCAGAAGATAGAAGAAGGTCTCATCTTGTCGCTGCAGCTGCGTCAAGCCTCAGAAAAAAGTGTCAACGTCAATCCATTCCTCCTCTCCCGAAAACACTGCGCAGCCACTTTAATAGCTGGCGCGTTTTTTGAAAACTTGGCGTATATGTTGATCAGCAGGAAGCCAAAACCAGCAACCCAACGCTAGGAATCTTCACGGGAAGAGGTTTCCCGACTACCAGACGAGTCGTTTCTCGTTATTCCATCATTCAACTTCCAAGGCCACACCAATGTGTCATCAGCTCTGCAGACGAAAAACAAGGGGGGAAGAAACTAGCCTCGCTCCAGGGTCCCAGTCGATAATGATGATCTTCTAACTCAACGAATATTTTCCCCAACTATAAGTATGCTGTAGAACATCTCCATGCTTGCTTGTCCAGCAAAACAGGGTCCTCTTTTCGTGAAACACCGCAAATGAACCATTTGGTTCATTTGCGGTTTTGCAGCTGAAGATGATGGTTCGGTAAAACCATCGAAACTAGTCCTGTGAAAATTTTGTAGGTATAACGCTGATTTTTGTTGTTTGACTTCTGAATTAGTATTTATTCGGCGTGTTATTGTGTCTTAATTTCAAAACAATTCAATTAAGGAATCGGTCCAATACACAAATTTATCAATAAGACCCTTAAAAACCTCTCCCAAATACTTTCCTATTCTAGCTCCTATGACTGCTGCCATTAGTTCCAATCGTGGCAACGTCAATTTCTTCAAAGGAGCTACTCTGCTTTTCGACATGACAAACGACACGGAAATGTCACCCTTATCATTTAAGTAACGACAATACGCTACAGCACCATAAACTGTAGGAGACGCATCGCAAAATACGTGTATTCCATTTTGAATTTAAGTTATCACAACACACAAATAAATTTCGGAACTGAAATATCCTTCAGATATTTAACCTCAACAACACCAGCTAGTCCACTTGATTTTAAGGTCATCTGGCCAATTTCTCCCAACCAATACCAGTTCCAAAATTTCCTGTACAAACACTTGATCCCTACATGGACTTCAAAAACCACTTGGCTCAAAAATCCCCAACATGCAACTAACGCTTTGTGGGGGAGAGTTGGTTGCGCCTTGGTTTTACGGATATGGGCGCATTTCCTTGCCCGGAAGTAAATTCAGTGGGGAATAGGTGCTAAGG